GGAATAGTGTTTCTGTTAAAAGTGCTTGATAAAGGGTGAAATTCTTTGGGGTTCCACCTTGAGGGTCTGCACAGTAGCTCTGCCCCCCTTGTGCAGTGGTGTCCGGGGAAGAGGGAGCTGCATCTATCCCAGTCCCCTTTGCTGTAGGAAAGCTGGACCTGAGAAGGTCCCCGCTCCTACGCCCCAAAGGAGGGGAGAGCCAAGAGCACCCCGTTACATCCTGTGCTGCCCGGAGGAGCCGGGGAAGGAGCACCGTTGGTTATTGGCACCTCCGAGGGCTTCTGCTATCCTGCCTCTGCGTTTCTGTCTCGGGAGGGAAGGGCGCTTGTTTTTCCTGCCGCTGTACGAAGCGGGAGGGGGTCATGCCTGCCTTTGGATCACGGTGTTATCTCTGCGAGTCTCAGAGTAAAGCTGCCCAAGCCTGCAGGCGGGGAGATGAAGGTATTTGATCGGATTAGAGGTTCTGAGATGAGCTGAAAGGGGCAGGCAGCTGTGAGAGGCAGTAACGGCATCCCGACGTGAAAACTCCTTTCTTAGTGTCATCTGTGCCTCTTTGACAGCTTTCTCTGCTGTATTTGAAACTAATGGGCAGCACTAGCACAGTAACTGCTTTGTACGGGGCCAAGCAGAGGACATCTGCTCTCCCCTCCCTTCTTGCCTAGTCACTCTTGGTTGAATGTGCCCTGGGGCTTTCCAAGTTGTTATTTTAGCAGTGTGTTTCTGTTGCACGAGTTACAGTTTGCTAAATGTATGGCAAATACATCTTGCCTGTGTCTACAGTTCATGCTTTTTATGTGATTTCTTGTTGCCTGATGGGGAAAAGCGGGGTCCAGAGATGCTCCCAGGACAGGCAACAAGCTCACACCTCTCATTTCAGAGACCTTTCTGTCCCTCCATCAGGGAGACGACCGAGGGGCTCGGCAGCAGCGTTGGTCTTGGGCCGAAGGGGTTTTGTTGCTTGGTGGCTGCTTTGTTCTGGACAGCTGAGCTTGGGAGTTGAAACAAAAGTTGCTTAATCCTCTCAAACTGCCTCGCAGCGTTACTAAGACTTAGCGCTGCCCGCAGACATCAGGGCTCAAGCAGCTTGCCTGTCTGCGCTCAACTCTGGGTACTTATCAGTGCTTATAATAGCAAATCCCCTGCGGAGCGAGGGACGGGAGGGGTCTCCAGCGCTTCGGCCATCTTCACCTGTCGTGCTGCGAGTAACCGAGCTGCCCTGATGTGGAGTGCCATCGCGCCGGTCCCCATCTGTGCAAAAACAGCCCCAGGTTGTAGCACAGTGAGCCCAGAGTGGACATCGTCTGCTGAGATGCCTGGTGGCTTGTCACAGCAGTGTCAGTGCTGGAAGCATCCTCATCCAAACATCTGGCACACCGTGAAGGGCACACGAGTCATCCAGAGACAGCAAAGCTGTGTTGAATCAAAGCCAAATTCCCTCTCAGCTTCATGTGTTGGACCAAATGAGATTGCGTTCTTGCTGATTTTGATTCCTGCTCAGCTTGGGATGTTTCTCCATGTGTTCTTGATGCTGCTGTTATAGAATGTGACAGGGCTTTGGGGCAGCTCGCAGGTTTTTGAAACGTGATTCTGGGACTTCAGAATGGCAAAGTGGTTGCGTACAGGGGCTTGTACTGCCGTCTTTGTGCCAAAGATCCTGTCTTCCGAGTGCTACTCCTGGTGTTTTCTGGGCTGACTCTCGCTGTTCCAGAGGTCTCTGCAAAGCAGCAGCACTTCAGCCCACCACCCCGTGATAATTCATAGTGTGTAGTGTCACAGCTGAGAGCTGGTTCTGTAGCGATGGTTGGTAACAATGCATTTTTTTTTCCTTTTCTTTTAACAGCTGCCCCTTCCTTGCCAGTCACCTGACCCTGGCCATCCCCATCATTGCAGCTGTCCTCTTCTTCTTTGTCATCAGCTGCCTGCTCCAGACAAGCTTCAGAGACCCAGGTATCCTGCCCAGAGCCACTCCAAGTGAGGCCGCAGACCTGGAAAAGCGGATCGGTGAGACTTCTATTCCCTCTTCTGTGTTCGGTCCAGTGCATCCCTCTGTGCCTGTATGTGTGCCACACACAAAGGCCAGAGTATCAGAACATGAGGCTAGAAGTGTCTTACGAGTCCCGATAAGAGAGATGCAACAAGCTTCTCTAGCACAGCAGGCAGTGCTTCAGAGAGAGGATCTGCAGAGAAGCAGAGGTGGTTTTCGTTTCTGTGTAGTCCCGCCACTTTCCCAGGCAAAGCCCTGTACAGTGGGTCGGGGCTGTACTTGTTCCTGCCCGCGGGATGACACCAGAGCGGGCAGCGGTCCTGTGCAGAGCTCCGGGGAGGGAGAGCTTGCAGCATCGGTGTCCTAAACACGAATATCGCTAGGGACTGTGTACCAGCAGCTGGGGGAGCACAGAGTCCCCCTTCAGAATCACGCTGCCAGGCTCTGGAAGACCGAGTGAGAGTGCCTGGGCTGCTCCGTAACGGTGCATTAGTTAATGTGAACATTGTCCGAACTCGGAGGAATCTGACCCTGTACGTTCTTCTGCAAAATACATGTGGTGAGGACTTAGGATAATTAATTTAGGAATGAATGCTTTTTAAGATTATGATTTGCCATTGAGCCTGCTGTGCCATAAGGTTTTCTTTATGGTAATGGTTTCTAACAGTATGCTAATGTTTGTCCCCATCTAAAAACTGCTATGTCACGCTGTTTTGGTGGTGGCCAAGCAGGTGCATGCATCCAGGATCTGTGGACCTTGTTGGTGTGACCCAGAGTAACAAATGCTTTAGCAAAGCTAACGTGAGATAACTCAAATCTGCCCCACTGAAGACAGTTGCAACAGTAATTCTACATCTGACTGAAAAAATGGTTTTAAAACGTCCTCAGAATGGTTATCCATGTTTCTATTTATAAGTGCCTAAAGCAGTAATCTGGCTTCAGATGCTGCCTGATGTGCCAGCTGTTACTGTTAATATAATCCACTTATCATCCTCTTAACATGCTCACTGTTACATCTCTATTTTCAAAGACTTGATCGGAGTTGGAAAGGTGCTCTTTCAGGAGTGACTTAAATAAAGGAATAACCCCCAAAATTGCAGATGTGATAGAGGTTTTCCAGCTCACGCTTTTGCTGAGCAGAGAAACAGTCTCCAGCTGCCAGTCCCCAATGAATAACGAAGTGCCAGCACACACAGATGCGACTTGCGGTTTCCCTAAAAATCCTTGATTTCGACCTTGAGGAGGAGGAATCCTCTTGTGCTACTAACATACACACGTCAAATTTCAATGAAATCCGCCTGGAGCACTTGAGACCTGCTCGCTGTCCTCCCCCGCTGTGATGGAAATGAGTCCCTTGAGCCTGGCGGTGCCACTGGCTCCAGCTGCGGGTTGGCAAGTGGTGTGCTGGCGGCGGCGGGGGATGCTTCTGTTGAGGTTACCCTAATGTGACCGTCTCCTGATTTCTGTAACTTGGATGTGTACAGAAGAGGGGGAACCACACGTGCGTTAACAGACGAGGTTGTCTCCTTGTGTTGTGATCCGTTAGACACGCAGGGATGAGTTGGTGTTACTGGGCACGTTAACACTGCTGCTTTTACGCTCGCTATTTATAAATTGCTTTACGTTCGCAAACTGTTGGGCAGATATTGCTTCCTCTTGGCATCCCAGCAGCATTGCCATTGAACAGACAAGGGAAGGACATAAATAATGCTGTGAGGAGCTGACTGGAGTTCCTGGCTGCCCACCCTGCAACAAATCCTGTAGGTTGAGCTGCCTTTTAGCTTTTGCTTAAAATCAGGAGAGCACGTGCCAATCCCTTACCCTGCCAGGAAGCAGCTCGGGGTGATACGGGGGCTTGGGTTTCACCTGCACCAGTTTGACTGTCCCTCCTTGCCCTTGCAGACAGCATGGGTACCTCTACCTATCGCCCGCCGGCCCGCACGATGGAAGTGGTCATAAACAAGTATGTGGTGAAACTCAAGTACTGCTACACCTGCAAAATGTTCCGCCCTCCACGCACCTCTCACTGCAGTGTCTGCGACAACTGTGTCGGTAAGCCCAGAAAGTTGAAAGGTGCTGATATCTTGTGTGTGTGTGCATTGGGGGGTGGTTTATGTTCCTGGTCAGATTGCTTTTGCTTCTTGTAAAGGATTATAAAGCGAGATACTGAGTGGTCTTTCTTCTTCCCATTTAAAATGAAAGCAACACCAGTGCAGTGGCTCTGGGTGAGGGAGCAGCACGTCCAAGACTCCGTGTCTCTGCTTTCCCTGGTTCTGGGAGGACTGTACCATGAAACGCAATTAATGCCTCCACCAAGCACGAGGTTTGCTGCAGGCTTCTTGTTGTCTGTGGCCTTGCTGTTTCCAGGCTGGTTGAGCTCTTCTGTGTCCTCTCCCTGTGCCATCAGATTGTGGTGGGGCAGGAGGGAATGAACAAAGACCTGCAGAAAAGTCTCTGATGGCTCCACGCAGGCAGGCGCAGGCGTGGGGCAGCTGCAGGGGGGTGGGCAGGGAGGTTCCCAGCGCAGCCCGGCTGCACCAGAGCAACTTGAACTGGCAGCAGGGTGGCATGTGATTTAGGGACATGCCCGGAGAGTTTACTCCTCATGCGTCTGCTCCTGGTCATGCACCATGTAGGTGCGGAGGCTGTGGTTTATGCTGTCTGCTGGGGCAGCCCGAGAAGCAACCGACCCCTGAGCAGTTGCAGGACCCCAAGACTCTGGTTAAGAGAAGAAGTTTGGGAGGTGCCAAGCATTACGTGTTTGGGGATAGCCGTGGGTGGCCGTGACTCCTCCTCACGCTGGAATGGCTCACTGGAAAGCAGCTGTGGCTGGGGCAGTGTTTGGAGAGGAGCTGTCTGGAGGAGCGGGCATGCGCCTGCTTTGTGTGCGATGGGTTTTGTTTGCACTGGTGTCCCCCGCAGGACGGTTACCGCAGTCCTGTTAGCCTGAAATGCAGCCCTTTCATTAGAAGGCAGTCGGGAGTGTTTCCAGATAGATTGCACCTGCCCTGGGTTCCCAGGCAGTTTCTGTGGTTATAGAGGCGTATCTTTATAACTTTGAAAATTATTTTCTGCCCCGAAGAAGGCGGGGGAAGCTGACATGCAGAAAGGGAGCAGCGATGCTGCGAGCACGCAGTGCTCCTACATACTGGAAAAACTGCTGCACTTTCCCTGCTCTTTCAGTTTTAGTAATGGTAGATGTTACCAGTCACAAGGCTTGTATTTATGCGGGGTTTGGTGAGAGGAAAGGTTTGGCCTTTGATGATAAAAAAGGGCATGCGAGCAGGCAGCAGTGCTCCACTGAAACTTCTTGCTAACGTACTGCTGCAGAGAGGTTCTGATCTCAGGGTGGTGGGTGGAAGCTCCATTTGTAGCCCCTGGTTTTCGGAGGCTCAGCAGAGTTCACTCTGTTACGGGGTGCGAGGTGGCAGGAGTCCTCACCGTGTCCCTTTGTTTCAGAGAGGTTTGATCACCACTGCCCCTGGGTGGGCAACTGCGTGGGGAAGCGCAACTATCGCTACTTCTATGCCTTCATCCTCTCCCTCTCCTTCCTGACAGCCTTCATCTTCGCTTGCGTCGTCACCCATCTCACTCTGCGTAAGTACAGTGGGTATTAGCAGCGATGTGTTCCGTGCTCCCGGCCACAAATAACTTGGGGCAGCACTGGGTCACTGTTCCTGTTGGATAGAACGTGGGAAGGGTCTGGTTGGTTTACAGCAGGCTTTTCAGTGCAGGTGGCCTGAATAAACGGGATCTCACACTGCAGGGAATCACAGATCCATCCTGCACCTCGCTGCAGAGAGACCTTGAGAGCTGGTGACTGTGTTATCCCCTCCAGAGCAAATAAGCTGGTGGATGCGTCTTAACCTGGCAGGGAAGGTGACTTGCCCATCAGCCCCAAATCTCCTGGAGTTGTGTCTGCACACTGACATTTCTGCAAAGTTACAGACTGCAGATGTTTCTCAGGCAGCCAGGCAGATCCATATGGCCCACAGGGGGGTGGCTGCGTGCTGAGGAGTGAGGTGTTGGCTGGAGATGCAAGGCTGCCTGATAGCATGTTGTTCCTCGTCCTGTTTTGTTTCGCAGGCTCTCAGAGAGATGGATTCCTCACCACTCTGAAGACGACGCCTGCAAGATATCCTTCCGATGCCATCGGCTGCTCAGACTGTCGAGCACTGGTGCAGCAATGCTAATTGTGTAACAGAAGTGCAATGACCTCTTTGTAGGGTCACCTTCGTGTACTTTCCACAACTTAATTTATTCCCCTAGCTACCTGGTTGGGGCAGACAGGCATCTCTTCGTCTGTAGACTGATAACATCACCAAATTGGGAAGACCTTTAATTCCTTATTTAGTTCACCGCCAGGGACTAAGAGTGGGTGACAAACTCGTTTCCTGGTTTGCAAGTTTGTGTGGAAAGGGAAGTGGCTGGAACAGGCTGTGCCTGGGTGGATGCCTGCAGGATGGCACGGGGAATGGGAAGCTTGCTGGGATGTTTTCGTGGCCCAGCGTGTGTGGTCGCAGCGCAGACCTCCCAAAACAGTCCTCTGCCTCTCCTTGCAGGATGATTTTGTTCCCTGAGACTTCCTTGACTTTTGTTTCACTGTGCTGGAACTGGTGATTTGTTTTTTCTCAGTCTGGTCTATTTTGGGCCTCTCAGGTTTTCATACTTATTTAGTCGCCTCCAACCTGACGACAAACGAAGATGTAAGTACCTGGACGCTTGTCCTTCTGCAGGGCCGGTCCTGGTCCTTCCTAAGCAGAGGTGAGGCTTTCAGGGGATCCTTGGCTGCCTGCCTCAGTGCAGTATCTCGGAAGGGCATGCTACCTGCATTGCCTGCGATAATCCACTGCAAAGCAAACGGCCCGTGCCCAAGGCGTTTAGGCTGTAGTTTCAGGTAGCTGAGTGGGGGGAAAGCAGCACGCAGCAGCAGGGGACCGTGCAACACATGTTGCTTGGCAGTGTCAGGCCATGGGCGTCACGCGCTGCAATGTTAGAAAGGTCACGTGTGTGTTTTTTCCAGTCTCTATGTCGCCTTGCTTAAAATTAGGAGTTCTGAGATTAAAAAAGGAAGGCTGGCCCCAGAGATTTATTTGGGTGTTAGCCTGGGACATGGGTGATCTTAATTCAGCATCCCACATAACCACAGGTTTCCTCTGAGACCCTGGGCAAGTCCCTTTGTCTCTATCAGTTCCTCATGTCTAATAGGCAAATAATGTACAGACATCTCCTGATGAGATTTACCTCAAAGTCTGGGGTGCATGCAGACTCCAAGGGCCAAATGAGTACCCTGAGCAGGGCAGATTGTACGGAAAAGCAGGATCTGTCTGATCTTCGAAATCAAAATTCACCCTTCTGGCCAGAAGTACCTGTAATCCTTGCTGGAAGCTTCCAGCGCTGCAGAAGGCAGGTTTGCATCCCTTTTTTTGAAAACTTTTTTCCCTCCCCTTTCCTCTCCACCTTTCTATTACATTCAGAGGTGTTGGCAGAGATGTGCAAGGCCATGTAAGTGAAGCTAACGGAGGTCGCACCCCAGTTCTGAGAGCACGACTCCGAAGCGCGTGGCCCGTTGCCTCTCTGCTGCATTGTCGACGTTGCCAGCCTTATGCTGCAACTGGGGAGAGGAAGTAAAAACAAAAGCAGGAAATGTAATGGTAAATGGTTCGCTGCAGCCAGGGGCCTGAGGCCAGGTATAGCATCTGCCCACTCGTGTGTGCCTACGCTTGATGTGTGACCGGGGTTTCGAAATCACAGTCCCAGTGACAGCTGCTCAGGATGGGGACAGATGAGATTGTTTCCTCCTGTTGCAGCGCGGCCTGGGAATCCCCTTGCTCTTTGTTCAGGCTGAGGAGCCCAGGAGGGACCATGAGCTAGACCCCTTCTCTGATGAGCTTTCAGCCTAGGAGAGAACGAGGGGAGGAGGAGGAGGCTGGCGTTGAAGATGGTGACACCGACAAGTTGCCATGCAGCACGGGGAAGGCACAGCTTTGGAGCTTTCCAGCTGCAAGGTTGAACCTTGGCAGAGGCAGGAGCAGCATATTGCTGTCTCCTCTGGCTGCCTTTCTGCAGCTGTCCTGCTTGTTAAAGCAAAGAGAGGGAGGACATTTGCAGTAAGACAAGCCTTCCACCTCTTGAGCAAGGATTTGAACCGAGTCCATTATCGTGTAATTATCTGCTATCACATCTTTGCTGTCTTAATCTGCGTGTATCCTTTCCCTTTCAGATCAAAGGGTCCTGGTCAAATAAGAGGGGCTCAGAGTTTGCCAATCCCTACAGCCATAAAAGTATCCTCACAAACTGCTGTGCGGTGCTGTGTGGACCATTCCATCCCAGGTAAGAGCCTTTGACCTCCATGGCGTTGGGAATTGCATCCTGTTCTGTGAGAGGGTCTTTGGAAAGGACGGATTTATCACGATTCGGGGGAGACTGTGTCAGCACAAACACATCTGCTCCCATGATGATGGGGAAACAGTTTCCCAGTCTCTGCAGAGGAAGGCTGGAGATAAAGCTGTTGCTTCTTCTGTCTTGAACTTGATGAGTTTGGGTCACTTGTAATTGTTTCATGGAGCTTGCAGATAAGACACATCCTGCGATTCAATGAGGGGAGAGTAACGGCACCAAAGGGCTCGGCAGCAGATGGTAAATACCGGTAGTGGCTGTACTTCTTAGCACGTGTTTTTCCTCCTGTACTCTGAGGATGGAGCGTGGTGGCAAGCAGCCAGCAGAGAACCGCATAAGGCAGCGTGGAGACCCTGGGTTTTACCAACACTTAGCTTCCCTGAAATGCTTAGTAGCATCCTACCAAATGCTCTTCCCTGTGAGTTAACCAGAACCTATGTTAAAACAAGGGCAAAGGCAGGCAGTTTGCTGCAGATGTAAGGAGGCTTTGGGCCTGAAGCACGGGTACCTCCAGCAGAGGATTATTGCTGCTTTGTCACAAGAGGGTGCAATTGGGCAGAGTCAGGCTGGCGTCCCCTCCCGCTGTGCTGCAGGAGTGGAAGACCTGCACGCTGGCTTGGAGCTCTCAGCCTGTCCTAGTGCACGTGGGGATCCTTGAGACAAGTTTATTCACTGGATCCAATTTAGATTTATATGGAGGTGCTAACTCGGTGTAACACAACCGCAGGGGAAGGTGTTTGAGGCTGTGCAGCTAGAGTCAAATTGTGTTTTACACTTATATCTGGCCCTGCTCTCTGAAGTACCCCCAAGCTTTTTGTTGGATTCAGAGGTGCCAAAATGCCAGTGCTGCCATTCAGAGATGGTAAATCTGCCGATGCAGGGAGCCGAGCTGTTTGCTGGGAGGTTGTGGGGAGAATGGTGTTTTACTCCATTTCTTTCCCCATTCATGTTGTTTTCCTGTTGTAAAGACCTTTTGCCAGTTCCCATTTGGGTTTGTGGTGACCCAAAGCTTTAACTGCCTAAAGGCTGTTTGGTGGCTTATATGATAAGTCTGTGGTTTGTCTAATGGGCAGGAAGCTGTGTTATCCAGCGTGCTCCTGCCGATGCTTTGGTTACCAGTTCCCACAAGGAGAGCCCTCTCTGTAAGCTCTGGTCTTCGCGGAGTCTTCGTTTCCTTAACTCCTCTCCCCTCGCACCCTTCCCTTTCTGTTTTCCAGCTTGATAGACAGAAGAGGATTTATCCAGCCAGAAGTTGGGACCCCGTCCAGTCCTAAGAGTGAAATCCCTTCCTTTGGAGCCAAAACTGACACCAGCATGGTAGGAGGCATTCCCTAGCAGTGCTGTGATGTAGCCCAGTGCCTGCTGAGCCTGCACCTCCCTCCAGCCAGTACCTTCCTCTCTTACCATCTCCCTGGCCTCAGGCGGGACAGCCCTGTGATGCAGAGCTGCCAAAGACTCAGTCGAGCCATGTGTTGCCTTTTTTTTTTTTTTAAATTTATTTATTATTTTTTGTTTATTTGTTTCACTGTGATATGGCCTGTCTGGACTTTCGACCGATAGAGCCCAACAGCATGCAAGACCCTCAGACTCGTGCAGAAAGCAGGGGGGCCCTGCTGCACCTGGGAAGCAAATAGGTCTGGGGAGCCACCAGACCTCTGAGCCCGGAGCGTCTGCTCCAGGGGGTCGCTGTGTTTCCTGCCGGGAATAGTGAGGTGGGCCGAGGGTGGGAGGTGGGGACTGGCCAACGGTTCCCACTCCGAGCTGGGCTGTCACGCCTCGTCTTCCGGGCTGGTGGAGGCGTTAAGTTCCCTGGTATCCCTGTTACCTCCATGAACACGTCCTGCTCCCCTGTCCTGACGTGGAAGGGCTGTTCTGTCTCTTAATGGCCAGGTTCTCATCTCGGCCGCTGCCGGAGCGGCTTTTCTTTTCCAGAAGCTGCTGTGCCTTGGTAAGTTGGGGCTGTTCAGCTGGGAGGACTCTGGCTCCCAGCAGATGTGGAAGCTAGCTAGATGTCCTGGCTGCTATTGATCCTGTTTTCTGGCTGGTCACTGAGGGGGTGCTGATGAAGAACTCTTTGTGTTTTGGCCCTGCCAGTCAGTAAGACAACGTTTTGCAGCAAGGACACAAGTTAGGGTGACCCTCCTTTTAACGGGGGGGAAGAAACACGCAGCATTCTGTGGCTCTCATCGTTAGATGCTGGTTGGCAAGGCTACTGTTGTAAGATTTGGGAACCTTAGCTTGCCAGGAAAGCCTGGTTATGTCCTGTCTGTAGGAGACCAAAAGGCAACAGAAAAGTGCGTGAATTCCTGAGGGTCACACCCTTCCCTGGTGGAGTGTCACAGAGGAAGCAGTGAGCGGGTGCTGGTCTCTGATAACCTCACGTTGTGCTCTTGGTTTGGGTTTCTGGCCGGCAGACGAGAGCAGGGCTGTCCCCAGTGCCTCCGGAGCGATTCCCGTGTGCCTGGGCTCATCCGTGCGCATCGCTCTGTGCCTGCCGACGCACGGGAGAGCCGGGCTGGGCAGCCAGCTCTGCGTCACTGACACTGGAGTGTGCGTAGGGGAGAGTCGCAGACCTTGTTAGCAATACTTGAATCGTGTTATTAAAAGCTGCTGGATATTTTTGCACAATTTGTAGATTTTTTTTTTTTTTTTCCCCTGTGTAGGACGTTTTATATTCGGCGTAGGTAGTGTTGTGCATGTTAGCACCAGGGCAGAGGCTTGCAGCATTTTGCGTCAAGCTGCCTGGTTATGTTTCCGTGGGTCAGACTCATGTATTTCAACCTCAGGCAGAGGCAGCACACTTACGGGGGCAGCCCGTCCCCGCTGAATTCACCAGCGTTGTGCTTCGCACACTGTGAGTGACCGCGCCAGCCCGCACGCAGCTTCGGGGCGCGCCGGGGGACGGCAGAGGCCCGAGGTTCCCCTGGCTTTACATTTCTGGCTGAAATCTCAGTGCTTGTTTGCTGCGGCCACCACCTTCCCCTCCG